CACAATTAATCTGTGAAGCTTGATTATAATCTAAACAAATAAATTAAGTAATCTTGTAAAAATCTAAGAAAGCTAAATTTGAAATTTTTGTCAATATTCAGTGCTTAATGTGTGCCTTATTTTTCAAATCAGATGTTGGAGCGAAATCAACCGAAACTGTGTTATAACCTAAATAAGGAGGGTGAAAATGATGAACGACTAGACACACTAAAATCTATGCCAATATCTACCTAATTTGGACTTCACTTCCAACTGAAGCAAAATCATATGTTATGTAGAGCTTTTAATTAATTAACATTTGGTTCTTCTGTTATTCCCATTGTAGAATAAATATTTTGATATTGGCAGAGCTGTTAGTATGCTCCAAATTTATGAATCGAAATTATGGCTGTGCCGATCCACATATTTTTCACTGATCCGAACCGATGTTGGTTCATATTGATTTTTCACCACTCCCTTTGAACCAAATGTAATTAAGAATTCAATATTTTTTATGCAAAAAATCGAATTATGCATTTAATTTAATTTTTTTATTTCTACATTAATTAAAAAATGCTTACGGGAAATTAGAATTCCGCAGATAACGCATTTTGCAAAATTATCTTTTTTTGTAAAATATTTCCATAATTCTTTAAAAAAATAAATAAAATTTAAGAGGTGTTGTGCATTTGCATTGTTTTAAAAAAAAATTATTTAGAAAGTATTATTAATGTAAAATAAATATACATAAAATAACAAAAAAAAGAAAGGTAAAAAAATCGGATCAGTTTTTACAGATATCGGCCCGATCCGATATTTTTGGAAAACGCTAAATATCGGTGCCGATCCGATCCGATAGTTAATATCGGCATAGCCCTAATCTAAATGTTTCATTTGTTCTAATAATATTCACGAATATGAATTTTAATTATTGTGTAATATTATTCGATTCGTTCTTAAGAATTTTAATATTATTTGATTCGTTCTAATTTTATTAGATTAGTTAAGTAATAATGCAAACGAATAATAGTCGAATAATTTTTAAAAAACTATACTAGAATAGGAGACATAGGAAATTTTAAATTAGATTAAATTAAGGGGAACATAGATCGATTGCACTATACATTTTACAGAGTATTCATACTATAGTACGGTATCGGGGTTGGACAGCAATGGTTTTGCTCTTCTACGATAAAAAATGTATTTCTCTTCTATCGAATTTAATAGTGTTATCATTTGATTGCTTAAACATCAGGTTACAAAATAAATAAAAATTGGAGTGTGTGTATATTTAATATTTAGAGGAGATAGTTGTCATCTTAGAGGATATAGTTGTCATCATTCTCTATGCCCATGTTAAGTGGTAAAGGATATGATAGAAAAGGGCAAATATAAATGAAAAACATACATCTTGGATTTTATTGAATAAAATGGACAATTAATAATAGGTATTATATTACATTAAATTACAAAAATAATTAATGTTATACACGGCTGTTATAGTAGGAGTCGTTATTGGCATAATTCTTGTGTTACCACTCTAAACACCTTGTAAATTAAATCTATTATCTTAAAAAAAAATATGTTACAACAAGTAGACTACGTAGTAACATTCATTATTTCAATTTTTCCTACCATTTTTTATTTTATGTTGATTAAGCTTTTTTGATTGGCACTTCACTTTTTGCCATTCAATCCCGGGCTTAGTGGTCAACTTTATATTATTTAGCGGCTTTTCGATGAGAACTAAAATCTGGGAACAAGTTTAATCGATAGTTAACTTATAATTTTGTAAAATTTAGGTATTTTTAGTTTAAAACAAAAAAACGAAATTATTTTTTTGTTTTTTTATCATTAAATTATTTAAAAAAATTCTTTTACTTCTTTTGCTTTTTCAAAAATTGCATAAAAAGACATATTTTCAAAATAATATATAAAATTTTAGACGTTTTGCGTCTTTCCCCTTTTGCCCTCGGTCTCCCTTACATGTAAACGGCACCGGTATATATTAACCCATATTACAAAATTTAGGCGATAAATATACGCCCATATTTTAAACATGCCTAAACTATCCTGTTTCTTTGTTGAAATTTAGCAAGATATAAGATTTAGCAAAAGAAACTACCTCCCACCTTTATATCTATCAGAGACCTGCAGAGGTAGCATTTGCACGGCCTGGCCCGGATTTATTTTTCAAAAATTTTTAGGCCAAGCCCTCCCCGGATTTTTTTTTAAAAAAAAATTTTTTAGACTCGGCTCGGAATTTTTCAAAATTATATCGACCTGGTATATACAAATAATTCACCTATTCGGTATTTTATCATATTTTTCGGCGAGTATTATCATATAATAAGCAAGCATATTAGCTAATGTTGTTAAACGGCTCGTTTTGAGCCGATTTTTAAAAACGAAATTTCGATACTATATGTCTAGACTTTGGCTCCTATGAACAAAATTTCAGGCTTGCGTAATATTTTTCTGGATAAAATACTGAGTTAGGCGTTTTTAAAAATCGGCTCAAAACGAGCCGTTTTACAACTACATATTTTATATTTTTTTATTCTAAACAAAAATTTAGTAAATTACAAATTGATACTATAAAAAATTTTTATAATGTATTTATTACCTATTATCCTTTGCGTATTTATTCCATGGCAGAAAAACTATAATTATGTAATAGATACTATGAGTGTTAGCTAGTCTTAACTATCACCCAACATTATATTAATCATAACTATAATCATTATAACTATATCTAATTGACGAATATAATAATTCATGTTGTATAAATTTTTTAAAAAAATTTTACAGCCCGGCACGGGTATATTTTAAAAATTTAAAATGCGGCCTGGGCTTAGGGTCGGGCCTGCAGGTCTCTGATATCTATTAAATACTATCCCATCTTGGCACAAATGTTCTTTTTAACTAAATATAATTTTTACCATAAAATTAAATATGAAAATAAATTGCATCAAGTTATAGAATATAGTATTGCACATAATGTGCCATATAAATAATTAAAACTAGTATAGTATCTATCTACTACCTATCTGTCATTAAAACAAGACTGAAAATGATAAAAGCTTCAGCTTTTAAAATCTCTGGGGGCTCAAAAATTATTTTCAAAATTTTCAGGGGGCTCGACCTCCCCCAGTTGTAGGACTTTTATTTTGTGAAGTGATTGACTAACTAAATTGTCTAAATTACAACGTCTTAATTGAAACAGCGTTGTAATCTAATACATTTAATTTGCGGGAAATTTTTAAAAATCATCTATAAATTAAAAAATTATTTTAATACGAATATCCAGGGATGCGAACCCGGCAAAATTTTAGCCCGGGTTCGGTTTAAGATTAAAAAATAAGTCGGTTCGAGTTCGGTTCAGGGAAATATTTATGAACCTGGGTTTGGTTCCGGGTTCAACTCAGGTTTAAGAATTTTTGAATTGATAAAATAAATCTATATAAAATCATAATTAAAAAATAGACATAAATTTGGTGTAAAAAATAAATTTTTATTTTATTTATATGCAAAATATAGTTAAAAATACAAAGCAGTCATGTATCAATTTGAAAAATTATATTTAGAAAATTAACAATATCCAATATAATAATTTTTACTTAGACTTGTTCATTTTTAGTTTATTATAGTTAATAATCTTTGAGAATTAGTTAAAAATTAAAAATAAATGGCGTAAATGAATTTAATTGTTTAAAATTTATTAATACTCCAATAGGAATTTTTGAGAATAAATTAAAATTTTAAAAATGGCGTAAATGAATTAAGTTGTTTAAAAAATTTTAACACTTCACTTAATTAGAAATTTTTAAATATTATAAAATCTCAATTAAATTATTAATATTTGTCAATTACACAAATATCTTAATATATGATTTTAAACAATAAACTGAACCCGTATTCAAATAAAATTCCTGGGCTCGGTTCGGGGTTTAAAAATTTTATAAACATGGTTCAAGTTTGGTTCAGATGTTTTCCCCTAAAACCCGGGTTTTATTCTCTGGGTTTGGTTCGAATCCCTGCGAATATCAATAGATTATAAAAATTTAAAATATTCGAATCCGATTTGAATTTTCTTTCGGATTTAGGACCAGTGCCGGTTCTCGCTGTTATCCATGATCTCACTATTTTATTACCAATATGTCTTCCGCACTCTATCATTCTTTTTCTTACATTTTTTTTGTATTGGTCAAAAATTTTTATCACACTATTATGAACGTACACGGTGACCTCCCTAATAATATTTTATGAATTAACATCCACCATATTACATTGAATAATTTTTGTAATAAAATTTTTTTTCCAAGAAAACCAAAACCTTTATCTTTATAATGATGATTGAATCTCTAAATTTAAATATAAAAAAAATATAATATAAATTATTTTAATATTTATATTTATAAAATTATTACATAAAAAATAAAATTCAAAAAAAAAATTTACTGTAACAAACGGTAATAAATTATATATATCAAAAAAAATTATATAATAAATATTTAAAAAAAAACATAAAATATTACATTTTTTGACACAAGAGATATAGCTAGCTAGATTCAATTTATCATTTTTGCATCTTGTAAAAATATAACATTTACATTCATTCATTATCCATCATTCATTCACATTATATTACGTATGAATGTTTATATTAGTTAAGCAAAACCTCTATAATTTGGTCATTAAAGCAGGCGCACGTTTAAATTTTTTTTTGTGGGGGGGGGGGGAATAGAAAGGATTACTGGATCTTTTTGTTATTATGCTCAAATTGGAAAGGTAGTTGCTCATATTTAAAAGAGTTCATATAGGGCAAGCTTTTACTGAAATTTATAATATAAAATAAGCTAAATATAAAAAAAATATACAACTCCTAAGATAGTATAAGAAGATAAAGAATGAAAGATTCATTAATTATAAAATATAATAATTTAGAAAAATCCTATTGCTATCTCCTTGTTATTTTATAAAATAATTTTTCATTTTTATTCAAAATTTTTCAAAGATAATATTGGTATAAAAAAATATGCAGATTTTAATTTAATTTTATACGTGGTAAATACATTACTAAAGGAATTTGGCAAAGATCTGAGCGCTCAACTTTTTCAGTGGGTCTGAAATTTTTTTCCCCCATTGCATTGACCACGACCACGAGGGTTGATCTATATGGTTATTAATTTATTTATGCAATCTAATCTAATATTTGACACAGAATTCGATATAATCAAATTAAAATAAGTTGCAAAATGAAATTTTATTGACAAATTGGCCCTTTTAGTTCATTAACTTTTTTATGCAAAACTTCTCAAATTATGCAAGGATATTCAGATCTGGTACCTAAATTTTCATACTTTTTTATAAATAATAACAAAAAATAAAGGGTTTCTTTTGTCCAGGATTCGAGTGCCTCGATCCTTATTTTCCAATCGGTGTTTCTGATGGCTCGTGGTTCCTTCTTAGATTATTTATAGCATTGATTCATTTTGGGGTCTTCTATAAGTATAACTAACATAATTAATCCGAACATATTTTCTTTTCGGTGACATCATTTGATTTTATTATTAAGGCTTCTTGCTAAAAAGTCAATTTTTAATATTTATGCATATTCTGCTGAAAAAATATAATGAAGAATATTTTGATTCTCGAATAAAAAAATCTGGACGGGTCAAATTTTTATAAAAAATTATAAAGGGCCCGGCAATTGATTAATGTTTTTATTTAGATTTATATTTAGATTTATATTATAAATATATGGGACAAATATATTAAATTATAATTTTATTGATAATATTTATCCGTAACTGTATTCTACTGTTGGTAGTAAACTCAGCTTCTTTCAAACTCGTCATCCTTTTCCCACCAGAACAGTTGATAATTTAAAAAATGTTGGAATTTTCTTCTTCTAATAATAATAATAAATTTTGGGTATTACAAACAAAATTATTCTAGCTTAAATACACCGAAAAATCGTTATTTTCAGTAGCGTAACCACGATTTATCCATGGTAAAGGGGTTGTCAAATTTCTTGATAGGTATCGTCTCCAAACCCCCAATCCTTTAAATAATTATGGTTATATATTACGATCAAATAATGATTCAAAAATGATATGTGAATCAAAATTTTCTCCTTTATTTGATGATAGGTGACGAAATTTTTCTATCTTATGAGGTGTGAATAACAAATACTTTTATTTTGATGAGAGGTGAAATTTGCCATTATTTTTATAAGACAAGTTTAGGATTAGTGTGATAGCCGATACCTAATTTAAGGCTGAGCCTAATTAGGATATGCCGATTTTTATCCACCCTAAACCTAATATCGTTTGGAATTTCCTCTAAATCAAATAGTTGTAGATTTGATTTTTTAATTCATAAATATACAGTAGCTTTATAAAAGATTATGTCGGGGATATTTTTATGATATTTCATATATATTTTATTTTTATATCATTCTTGCTTTACATATATTTTTTTTTATTTTCACAAAATATGACAAAGTTTTTATTATATAACAGATAGATCATCTACATTAAAGTTGGCTGAATAATTTGGAGCACTAATTCTAAAATATGGCAAAAGGATAAAATTATTAGTAACAAAATTTTGACCAACCTTATGATTAAAAAGCGACTGAAAACATTTATTCTGAAAATTTCTTCTGTTTAGTGCATCTTATTAAATATAAATAGTGCTTTATTAGTACATTTTATTTTATTTTTTTTATTTGGTCGATGGTTAGGGAAAATAACTATTGTTAAAATAAGAAAAGGATTGTCAGAATTAGCATTATGCCAGAACGGAGTATATAAAAGTTATAAACATCTTATATTTGTTAATATTTTTAGTGCCATACTTATTAATTCTATCAATATTTGCCAGCCACAAAATAAAATAACCGAATTAAAAGCCAAATACAAACTATGATATCACGCCATAAGCGTAGAGGCAGCAACTGGAAGCATTAACTGAAATTTATATCAACAATAAGTGCTTATTTCATACTTTTATATGCTTCCAGTTGGATAGTTTGGAAAAAATTTATTATTAGCAAAATAAAAAAATTTCCTAAGATTGACATTTCGTTTTGCCAGGCCTCCTCCATCAGCGGGATTAGTAGGAGACTCCCTCAACTTTTTAGTAACACGCATAGATTTCCTTTTCGCAAAACTCCCGCAACGATTTAAAAATTTTTCCCAATTTCCAGATTTTAAACGTTTTTTTATCTATAAATAATAATTTTGAGAAACAATTAGAAAATAAAGATTGTTTATATTTTTTATAAAATTAATATACTTTTATAAATTAAGATGTTATTTTATAAAATTTTGTCTGTTATATAATAAAGTAACTCAGCTGCAAAGAGGTGGAAATTAAAGCTTTAAAACTAAGAATAAAATATTTTCTATTTGAAAAAATATTATAAAACGATACTGACTGAGTTGGCCCGCAAATTTTTTTTTCCGCAATTAAAATATCTTTCTCAAAAAAAATTTTGACCAAATGTTTCCCGTAATTTGAAAATTTTGACCTGGCAAATCACGTATTATATAAAATTATAGAATCATTAAATATGTGTATGCGCTAATATGTAATGCATGATTATTACTTGCTAATTTATCAATCAGTTTTTCCAGTCAGTAAATAAAAACCAGTTATAAGCGAAATAAAATAACGGCACGTCTTAGGCCGATTTTACGTTTTAGAACGATTTTAGTTTAATCTTCAATCCGCTTGGTAATCAGAATAAATACTAAAGTTATTAGCAAAATACGAAAATTGTTAAAGTTTATACCATTCAAGATGGAACGAAGATTCCAGAATCATCAAATCATTTAAAATAAAAAAATTAGATAAACAAAGTATCTAAAAATTTTACTACTATCAACATTATAAATAATCAACTTTTTATCTTCTTTAAAAATATAAAATTCGATGTCTTGGCTGTAGCGATGCTATTATAATAGAGGTGACATAAAAAAGTAGTTAAAAATAGACTTGTGGCACCTTTGGACATAAGGTTGTTAGAAAGTCCTATTCGAGCCGATTTTAAAAAAGGACCCAATTAAGATTTTGGCCAAAATAATATCATGTAAACCTGGAGATCTTACTCATAGATGGCAAAAAAGTTTAGACCTCTATTTACCAAATCTCGAGGCAATATTGTATGGCTAAAATCGTAACCAGGTCATTTTTAAATTGACCCGAATCGGGCTTTAACAACCTTAAATTTGAAAAATAAGATGGAGTGGGTGGTTACTAAAATTGAAAACTGTACAAGTGCTGAAGTTGATTTTTAACTTTTTTTGAAATTAATAAAATTATGAAATTTGATTTTATTGTTAATTCGTAGATTTTTAAAATTATTTCACGTACTTTTTTAAATATTGCAAGATGGTTTTATTGAATTAGAAAATTATAAAAGTATTATAAAAATTTTTGCCCAATTATATTTTCCATCGGGGGGGGGGGGTTTATGCCACTGCTTATTTTCATTGAATACAAAATAAATTAAATTTTTTTCTTATTTATTATAATAATTACTAATTAAAATATTATATTTCCATTAGTATTATTTTAGCAATTATATATATAAAATGATTTGATGGGCTTCGGCAAAATTTTTGAAACTTATTGCGGGCTAGGGACTTTTTTAAATATTAGATTAAGACTGGACCTATAATTTTTTTTACTTCTGGCTTGAGCCGAACTTGATCAAAAAATAAAGGCTCATGGGTCTCTAATAATAGCAAATACAAAAAACAGTTGTAGCCATAGAGGAAAAATATGAGCCTTATTTGACACTGGGGAAAAGCGCAACTTGTGTAAAAATTTTTAACTGGCCGGGGCTATGCAGATCTCAGGCTCGAATTATAATTAAAGAGTTTTGCTCCACCCCAACATCGCCATTGCGGATTTTACAATTTATTATCATTTTATAATATTATTTTAAAAATTTTCTTATGTGACCTATCTATTCTTAGCTGAAATCAGACACGAATAGGTTTTAAACTTTTTTAGAATTCATTTAGCAAAAAATATAATATTGCTCTTGATATAAATAAGGTATAATATCTTGCTTATAACTTTTTTCAAGTAACCAGATGTTTTAAAAAACCAGTCGCATTTTTAATTACTAGATTTCTAGACCCTAAATCAAAGTCTAAAGAGAAGATGTTATCATTAGTAGAGTTATAGGTTACACTTATGTGTAATCAGCAGAATACCCGACACAAGTGTACTTAGCAAAAAGAATCCCATAAAATTGCCCTATTCATTTACCCCACTCCCTTGAGGCACCTGAATCTTACTCAACATTCATAGTATCATCCGTGAAAATACTCCAATTTTAGAAAAATATTATAAATTTTGAAACAAATAAATTAAATTGGGATATTTTTATCCGGTTTCTTTTTATAATGTTAGTTCTTCTTAGTTTCTTTGTCCGGTTTATTCTTCTGATCTTTTATATTTTATGTAGAAGAACCTTCTTTGATTTGATATATTAAAAATAAAAAATAAAGTAGATAAAGAATCTGATTTAAATTTTTAAAAATAATTTTTTTTTTCTTTTTCCCTTATCTTATATTTTTTTTCTTTCAAAAAAAAATAAAAGCCATCAATCTTTGTCAAGCCTTGTCACACTGCTAAAAAAAATTTAACAAAAATAATATAAATATAATTTTTTATATATAATTTCAAATTGAATGATTAATGAAATTGGAAAAACCTAATACTTATTTTATTTATATATATAACGTATTTTTACAAATAATGAAAGATGATGGGGATTGATGAGTCTTACTCTGATGAGATTGAGATGAGTCAAACTCAAAAAATAGGGAATATAAAAAAAATAGAAGAAACTGGAAAATAAGAAACATTTTATTTATTTCATTTAAATAACATCCATTTTTGGATGCATGCCACATAATCATTAAAAAAAATTATATCTAATTTATAAAATGACACAATCTGTCGTTGGCTGACTGGGCTGAACAAATGAAATTCGAAGAATATATTTTAAAATTTTCTTTATAAATATGATAGGGAATGAAAAGTCTTGGTACTCTGATCTGAGTAAAATATTAGAAAAGAATGAAATGAAATATAAATCATAAAGCGGACGATAGAAACACAAATTTTTGATACGACGAAATTTTGTATGATTAAATTTTATTCATCAAATTTATAATAAATGACACGATCCGAGTGGCTGGCAATATTTTTTTAAAAAAATTACAATTATCGCGTGATATAATTAAATATATTTTTTATGTTGATGATATATTTGTAACTTATTGGTAAAAAAACATCTTTAACCTCAAAATATTGACCATTTGAAGTCGATTTACTGTATTATAAATGCAAAAAATGTAATGGTCGGGTATAAATGGAGCGTCTTTGGTTCGAACAGAGATTCACTGATTATATTAAATTTAAATGGTTCAGGTTATATATATATATATATATCAGTTGTATTAAATCAAACGTTAACATTATTTACAAAACTTATAATATTATTCAGTATGGAAGTGTCTCATTTTTAAATTAAATATTTATATTTGTAATATATTTTGTTTAGATGGATATGATGACATCTAATCCATTTTTGTTACACAAATTGACAATCTAATAAATAAATAAAAGCTTACACTTTTTTTGAGATGATATATCTAAATAAATATTAGATTCATATCATGAAAAATAAAAAATAGAATGGTTTTTTAATCATCTGTTTGAATGTACCAAAATCTAGTTATGTACAGCAGCGAGTGTCCTAAACTCTTATCATTTAGGGATCTGCGGAGTCAGAAAATATTATCTGGATGTGATCTATAGAGATGTTTTCCACAAATAGGAAATATCTTAAGGAGTGCTTATTACTATGGATGTGTTGAAACATATATACACTCTAGCTAGGCTACTGATAAATTTTTTAACTGTAAATTTTATTTTCCTATTATTTGCACAACATAAAAATAGCACTTGATTATAACATCGCCAGGATTTTTCTAAGAGGGAGGGAGGCACCACTAATAAATTTATTGGATTTCTATAGTTCACTTATTGCATGTCCTTGGCCAGTTTAATTTTGGTGATGCCCTTTTTCTTAATAATTTGAATTATAGCTATTATTTTGAAAAATTGTTAATTTTTACTTAGATTATTGTTTGTAGTGATTATAGTCTAATGGCTAAATATCGGCTAATTCGGCTCAATCTTCAAGCGTCTATCAGAGAAAATCCGTTAACATTAAGGCGTTTAATTTATATTAGTTCTTTCCAAATTTGAGTGGTATCTTTTTAAGAAAAACCCCAAGACCAAAATGATAGTTTTCGGCTAAAAATCTAAAAATTTGGTTTAGCCGATTTTTTAGCCGGTTAAAAATTGGCTCAAAAGGCTTAAAATTTAGTAATTACCTAACTATAGTACTGATATATTATTATATATTTGGAGAGAAAAGGGTCAAAGTAAGTAGGTGGGAAATTTTTATTAGCTTAAAATGATATTTACAAAAACAGGCAAATTTCCAAAAGAGGAAACGTCTCCAAGTGCTTACCATTCGGTATAGTTGGGTAGTGACTAAATGTCACCTAATTCGGCTCAATCTACAGGCGCACGCTGGAGAAAATTCACTAACATAACGGCGGTTTAATTTAAATTGGTTTCTTTCAAATTTGAACTGCTACATTTTTAGGAAAACCCCGAGGTTAAAGTGATAGTTTTCGGCTAAAAACTCGGTTTAGCGGATATTTTAGCCCGGCTAAAAATTGGCTTAAGCGGCTAAATAATATTAATTACCCAACTAAACCCTTCACTAGGCCTATGATTATTCGGTAATCTATTTTTAGTTTCGAATTTTTAAAAAATTCCTAATAGATATGATAGAGATAGTTTTTATTGACATAAAAATAATGATTCCATAAAAAGAACACAAAATTGGTATAACTTGAATTACCTGCTAATAATATATGCAAGATAAGTACCCTCCCCCCTCCCAATAAATATCTTAAATTTAAAACATTAAAAACAAGCTCAGAAAATATTTTTTTAAATTAAATATATATTTCTACTTTTCCTGGATATCTCTTTCGCAAGACCTTTTTGTTCGGCTCATCTTAATATTAAAATAATGTATTCATTCATGTTTATTGAGAAAACAATTTCATTTAAATTCTATTTTTTAAATAAAAAAAATATATAAGTGCCATTTAAACGATGACGATACTAGTCCTTTAACGTTGTTGGTCAGGGCTTGTAGTAATTTGGATCCCAAACTACCCCAAAACGATAAAAAGAGACCCCTAGATCCAGAAAATATAATTTTCACCAAGTCAAACTTATCTCATTCTGAATTAATGACTCCTAGAAAAATTATCAAGCAAGACGATATCAAAACTAATCGCCTAATGAGATCTCGTCAAAGTGAACACGATTTTACTAGAAATGAAGGTAATTCTGCCTTTATGAAAAATAATAGTCGTTTCCCCGTAAATTCTATACACGTTTGCAATAATGATAAAACCCGAGATGCCTTTGTACCCAAGGAAATGCCACACTATAAAAATGACGATAAAGATTCTTCTACACCTTATAAACGGGAATCTATTTTAAGTGTTGATTTTACTAAGATCTTCTCACCTCCAGTCTTCCCTTGCCCCTTTAGCTCTTCTGCTAAAACCATTGTTAACTCTACGTTATATGATTTTATTTCGGCTAAATCTTCCTACCAGATATCGGGTCGTTCAGAAAATCATTTTAATCCCTTTAAACTTTTTACATCATTGAAATCACCAATTGTTGGAAATAATTATGTCTACCCATCTACTGCCAAGAAAGGGTCCTCTCTAGACAATGGAAAAACTTCTAAATTGATTTGCTCATACCGTAAAAAAGAACAAAATAATGAGAAAAGAGGATCTTCGTGTTGTAAATGCGGATGTTCCAATTCCTTTATTTCTCCTCATTATCAACATTTTAATGCGTCTCCTCACTCATTTTACAATAATCCTTACTTAAACTACCCATATTTTTACAAAATGTTTTGCCAAAGCCTCAACTATCCTCAGGATTTTTCCTTCAATTTAAATCGTTATCCTCATCCTTTATGGTGTTCCCCAGACGAATGCTCCCCTCTAGACAATAATGGTGGTACTAATCCAAAATTAACTCAGCACTCAGAAGGTTTTACTATGAACTCTAAATCACCAGAGCATATATCCCATCCCCAGAATAAAGATTCTACCTTCGACGAGGATGTTAAAAGTTATTTCTCGTTAAATTTATTTCCAATATCATCGATTACAAGTAATACGAAACAATCGTCCTCAGTCATTGATAATGATAATAATACTAATAAAAATTCAAATATACCAGAAGCTAGGACCAATCTTGTCACTAGTCGCAACGCGACCGAATACCATACATCTATGAACTTTCAAGAACGTAATATATTAACAACGGATATTTTTAATACTACTTATGGATCGCTCATGAATTCATCCAACAATATTAGTCATCAAACAATTCCTCTACTTGGAACTCGACAATACTCTCTAATGAGCAATTTGTACAATTCACCCAATTTAGGTTATAATTCTCCTAGCTTATCCAGCCCGGTTGATCCATACTATTTCATGAACCTTTTTGAATATTACTTTTATAACCAATTTTACAACCAAATGATATACCCTCCTTCAAGTGAAATCAACTTAATGCATAATTCTAACAACTTCTACCCACTTTCCAATTCGGCTCTTACGGATAAAGATTTCATTCATAATTTATGAAATATTTTATATATGGATTCTTTGTTCATTAGGTTAATTTTGCTAATAAATTTGTTTTTCTTTCATTTATATTACATACAGAGGTAATCTTATTTTATTGGGAAATCAATGTTTTATATTAATTTGTTACTTCTCTATATTATAAAAATTTATTCTCAATACTAATTATAAATGTTATTTATAGATTATTAGTTTATTATATTAAACATCAGTAATATCATATTTATGCAATATCAAAAATTATTACATAATTTCATATATATAACATAATAAATCATTGAGAAATAGTCATTTCTGAAAAAGTTATTATAAATATATTATTATATGCAAGACAATAACTATTGATTGATATTGGTAAAGCTTATTTAATTTATAATAATATTATAAATTTTCCGTAACTATAATTATTATATTAGTTAAAAAGGGAATATTATTAGTTCTAATGTATAATTAATATATTTAATCGTAAAATTACCAACAGTTAAATAAGATACGTTATTTTAATTGTCTAAATATTTTCACTAAATTAAATTTTTTTTATTCAGTCATATTAGTTTTTAATAAAATGGGGGGGGGGCGTCTTAGTAAATAATATCTTTAAATGTTATCATAAGATAATAATTAGAAAAGTTTTTAATGAATATAACCATATATTTTAAAGATTTGATTAAATTTTCTTACAGCCTTATCTTTTTCAAATAACAATATTGTTAAAGGACCAATTAATCAACCTAAGGAATCAGTTTTTATGGGAAAGGCTTTTTATCATTATTCCCTCCAACTATATTAGTTTATCGTTTACCTCGAATAATGATTTCACTAGCTATCATTTATATTATATTTTTTATCAGCGGTAAAACGATGATACCGCACGTCCCCATGCAAACTTTTTTTGACTGTCTAGTAAAATAAAATTACGGTCATCAGCCACTATTATAATTTATTAGGCTCTATATAACCTGGACCCCGTTGTTGCACAGGCTTTTATAGCCTGAGTTTTGAGTTCTTCAATGATATAACACTTAAAATATTTCTTACATTAACATTATATTTAAAATGAGAATAAAAATGGGCCGCAAATTTTAAAATTTATTTGTAATTTTGCTTAAAAAAATACTTTTCGTTCTGATGAAGGCTCTGATTTTGTCCTGTATATATATATATTTTAAACCTAAAACTTTTCTTGACATAATGTCCAGGGTTGGAGATAACCATAAGTATAAATCGTTAATTAATCTTGAGTATTTACTTATTTAAATTCTAATGAAGGAAGAGGCTCTTGTGAATGCCAAATCAATGATTTATCTAAAAACCAAGGTAATAAATTTTAACCATTTTAATTTTTAATGAGAAAATGAATGTGAGCTAACAATATTTATATAAAGAATATTTATAAAATGCTTAGCTTGAAAGAAAATTGATTTTAAAAATAGTATTCTTATTATAATTGTATCTTTCTTACACGTTCTGAAAAAAATTAGTTTATAAAAAAAATGGAAACAGACACATTTACTTGATTCATATAAAAATAAATATTCTATTCGAAATTTACGAACCGAATGCGAATATGTTATGATTCGATTCTATTTTCTGGAGGTCTAGGATTATTTAACATTCATTTGCTTTTCATATTTTCAATTTGCTTTTGAAAAAATTAAAATGTTTAAAAATAATGCCCTAAAAACTTATTCCGACAAGTGATTATTAGTAATACTTATTTAGTTATAGATCATTTTTTATATGGTTATCCGAGTGACTTTTTTAGTTGTACGATAAATAAACCTACCTTTGTTGGCTTAGGTAATTTATTTATAATATAGATTTGGATGTTTGTAGATGGCGATGCCACCAAAATATTTTTACCAATCAAGAATTTACATGTATGGATCGACCGGGGCTAAATAGAACAATATTCATTTGGGTAACTTTATTTTGAGAAATATTTGAAATTCAGTTACAATATAAATAATTATGGTACGAATGTGTAATAAAAATTTTTTATTTCCATATAAGATACTTAAGATTATATTGTAAATATATGTTTCATGCCCTAAATTTCAGCAAACATTTTGAATTTTTTTATATTTCACAAAAATAAACCTACAAAAATTTTATATCAAATGAAATCTTAAACCTTTATATATCAGATATGGCATAAAATATATTATGATAGCACATAATATTTTCTTCCCCCTATTTAATCGCTCAGAATTAAAACTGAAATGCTCAGAAAAAAATCCTTCTCAACATAAAAACGTAAGCTGTGTCCTGGTTCGTCTTATTAACAGTTGCCTGTTTACCATCTATATAGGTTCCTCTAAAGAGTCCTAGAAAAAAGAGGTTATTTTATTTACCACTCCATGTCAGTTTTATGTGTACCGATGAAAAACTATATCAATAACAATATTATTTATTAATGTACAAATTTACAAACCAAAATATGTTGTACTAGTTCAATAAATATGAATTAGTTCAAAGATAACACAAACCAGGACATGGCCTTAGCGTTCAGAAAAAATTATAATTCTCAGGTTAGTTCTTAATGCTCAGCTAAAAAACTTAATTGTCCAGAAAAAAATACTAATTTCTTAGGCATAAAACTGAAACGCTCAGATTCAATGAATAGCTCAGTAAAATATATGAAACGTTCAGAAAATCATCTTAGATTTTAAGAAAAATTTTAAACTTTAAGGCCATGTCCTGATTTAACTTATTACTAAATAACGGCTATTTAGCTTCTACTAAACAGAATAAAAAATAAATGAAAAATAACAATGCCACCAAATACTTAAAACAAGCCGAAATAGGGTGACCTATCTTAGTATTAAGGCTAAACACCATTAAGTATCAAAATGAAGTCGAACCAGAACAGAACCAAGTATTTTTTTTAATTCTGATAAATTATGAAATTTTTTTTTTTTAAGAATTTCAGTTTTTATTCTGAGAGAAATAATAAAAATCACTTCTTTAAATAAACGTTTTGAAACAGTTACACGTAGACGCGTAGCCTATTTGCTTTGACGTGGTGACAATTTGTAAAAATATTATTTTAAAAAATACATCTTGGAGTTATTATTGAACTTTTATAATTTTCTAAATTAATTAGGACTAGTGACTATAAAAAATTGACATTTTATTATATACCTAAATAATCTGTAAAATATAAATTTGTGCACAAAAATGCTGTTATATTATATTAAATGTATATAAGGAATGCGTGTTATGAGATGAATACTGTAAATAATTGCCCATTAATTTATGGAGGGTACAATTGCATTACAACCAAGGAAGGGCTATGGATATGCGTAGCTTTTTATTAGTCATGAGGGGGCCGAGATAAGAATTGGGGATGGCTTCCAGCCATTCATAGTCAGAATTTGCATTTAGTAATACTTAGGGTTTCCTCCATTATATTGAATTTTCTTTTAATCACTTTACCCTGGTGCCAATAAATATATTGTTGCCTGATTTAGTGATTTGAACTACTAGAAATAACGGTGTATTTAGTATCGTTTTTTTAAAGATTCTTGGTTAGACACACTAAGTTGTTTTTAATAAAGTCCTCAACACATAAATTATGCGTTGAAAATTTAATCACAGAAATAATATTGCCGACAACATCAAAATTTTAGCCAAAAAATTATATTTAAGCCTCGAGATTTTTCATATAGAAGGCAGATAGGTTTGGCCTTAAATATTTATTTGGCCATTTTTTAAATCTGCTAAATTGAAGTTTTCAACAGCACTATATAGAAAGATAACATTTTAGAGTGTTTTACCGATAAAACTTTCGACCAATGACTTTTAACTGGCCACGACAAGTTAACCGACTTGCCATCCCTGATTGGAATTAATACAAGAGTCATTATTTTCGCGACATTCTAAAAACAAGACGAAGCAGGGTCATAACTAAAGGAGGGAGAGTTTGGAATCCAGTCCTAAAAAGTCAATGACTCCAACGAAATTCTGCTATTTTTTTGGAGTTCTAGTCTTTACACATAATTAAAAGTGAGTTGTAATTTAAAAATATTATATAAATTATACAATATATAGCTTTTAGTCTCCTTTTTAGGAGGTATGGTGACCTATTTTTAAAAAAAATTCTTTCTCTTCCCGTCTAATATTTAAAGTGGACACTGTTTTTTTTAAAAAAAAGGTCACTATCTCTCTGAAATAGAACATTGTATGTCTCTAGAAAAGCTATATTACAAATTGTTATTTTATTTTAATACAATAAATTGGGTAAATACGAATCATATCTTAAAAAAGACTAACATAGTATTATTAGCATATGAGTAAAAAATAACAGGAAGAATATAATTGAAATGTAAATTTTTTTAGAAGTCACCTCCAGAATGAAAAATTCACATTAGGATTGTCGGCTGTACTTACATAACTAGTTAGTTATTTTTCCGAAAATGTAGTAATTTTCAACATTAATCATAAATAATCTTTAAAAGTTATTTATTCAAATATTTCTTACATTCGTTATGTCATAAAATAAAACAAAAACTAATTAATACTTTATGATTCGTTTTTCATAAAGAAATTTTTCATTTTTATTATTATGTGTATAATAAATATAAAACCAAAATCAAAGAGCTTATTTACCGATGACGCAAACCTTTTTATTTATTTTTGAGATCGGTATTTAAAAAACATTAAACGAAGCGAAAATTGTATATTATGGATGTAATTAAAAGATAATGTGAAAAATATTTCTTTCATAAATCAACTGTGCTTCCTACGTTATCTACTTTTTAAAAATAATTGAGCCCCCTTCAGGGAATTTGTCGGCTAATAGCATTTTTTCATAATTTGAGTGTCAGTGATCAAATTAGACAGACTACTCTTTTACTGATTATTATATATATATAATTATAATTACCAAAATATTTCAGAAAAAAACAAAAAAGAATACATATGATTTATTAGATATTTATATAATTTTTTTTTGTATAATATACTATTTCTAAATATAATACTCCTTTTCTTTCTAATTTTTTTGTGTATTTTGTTTTTTATATATCGCATTAATTTTATGAGAGTTCCAATTCATCAAAAGAAAATTGAGAAGAAAAAGATACTAATAAATTATATTGTAAAACACAACAAATAAATTCCAAAAAATATTTTCGGTAAATAATTCTTTGTGTAAGCTTTAATAAAATAAAATACAATACAGGATTCAA